AGGTTGGAGATATGTGGTATTCAGTTGGGTTCAATAATTAATAATAAAATAACATCCAAAAAGAGTCAGCATAAAGTAGTAGTGGAGAATGCTACTGATGTAATAGTCATCATGTAATTCTTATGAAGCTGATCCAGTGACTCTGATTATAAACTAATGCTTGTGTCTCCCTCTAGTGGATGAACATACAGATCTGTGAATGCAATTTAGCACAGGCACCAGGAGTGTCTTCATCATTATGCTTGCCTTATCTTTTCCAGGCTCCGTCAACAGAGCAGTAATTTAAATGCACCAAGTGTCATGCAATTATAAGCTCTGCTTTTTGCTCTTTATCTGAATTAGATCAACTCAATTAAACTGATTATAACAAACAATAGGAAAGTGTGTTTGGAGGAAAGACATGACGTCTACAGGTGTACAGACATTACAGACACATGAAACACTAATCAACTTCACATACACCTGAGTGAACATCAACACACTGTGACTGCATTAGTGGAGGTGTGTGCACACATGCAGAAGTGTATGTGTATGTGCACAGGCATGGAGTGCATGTAAAGCCCTTATCCCTAGCGGATGACTCACCGGTGAGTCACAGGTCGGGGAGCGAAGAAGTGTTGCGTAAGTCAAGAGCTCCTGTCAGTCACAAACTTGGTGCAGCGGCAGGTCATTGTGGCGTAACCTCGTCATTAAAACCAAGCTTGTGACGCTGTCATAAAGGCCAGGGGGGCGTATAATAACGAGGAGGGTGATTGAACAGTCACTGGTAGACTGTAAATAAATGGTGCCATTTGACAGGTTAAGGTGTAGTGAGAGGGAGGAGACGCATGTAGGCACACATCCTTTCCCAAGCTCAGTCACAGTCATGAATTATACATTTTTACATCTACACACACAGCTGAGAGATAGCTCTAATGAAGTAACAAGTGATGAGGCTGTGATTCACACATACACACACACATACCTGAATACACAGTCACACACACACACACCTGAAACGCACAGTCATACATACGCGCGCGCACAGACACACACACACACACACACACACAAAGGTGGAAACTCGGGGCTTATACAAAGCCAGCCCTGTTTGTGCTCCTATCTGCTGAATGTGTGGAGGAGAAGGGAGGAAAGTTACAGGAGAGGGAAGGAGATACAACCGTGGCTGTTATCAGACTCTGCTCAGCCACAGCAGCATGGAGGAGGGAAAAGGAGGGGGGATAAATCTGTAAGGAAGCTACTCCTGTATGTGGGGACAGACAGAAAAAAAAGAAAAGGGAAGAGAAGCTTGTTTGAAGCAGGAAGTCAGATTATACTTCCAGAGACAAGAAGATAGATCGCTGGATAAACTAATAGCTTGATAAATAGACAGATGGACATGAGGTAGACACAAAAACTTCTGGCCCACTGAAAAACTACCACACAGTCAGCTGTTATTTTATTGACATGTAGAAAAAAGTAATCTTCCTGTTTAGAAAGAAGCACTGAGTATTTAATAAGCAGACACACAGGTGATGCCTTAGTGCATCCCTGAGTTTCTCAATCGCTCAGGGTCTCACATGCTTCATTTAGCTGGTCTGCAGAAAATTAGCCAGCCTCATTGAACATGTCACTGTGCTTCCTGTGCTGCTGACAACTGACTTGCTGCAACTGATGCTTTCAGCTGTCAAACTCACGTTGTGGATCATCTGACAACAAGGAAAATACGAAAATTGATGTCACTTTTTAATTGCATGGTTTTATCTAAAATGAAGCTTTGATTTTTGTCAATATTTTTACAATAACAGATAAAATACGTAATTAAATACTGACAAGTCTGTAGTTTCATATCAGCCAAAAGATTACACAAACTGTGTAAGCCTGTGACCACAAAGTCATGCAGGTTTGATCAGAGAAGAGAAGTTTCCTGCCTATTTAGGGTTATGCCCATCCCCCGACAGCACCAGCTCGCTTTCAAACTGTCTGGTTATCACTCCCTAGTGGCATCATTCCCAGGCTTTTTTTGGTCTTCCTGCGTAATGACTTTTTCAAAGAAAACAAAATGTATAATATTTGTAGTCCTCTTCTACAGTGTGCTGAAGTTGTACGTGAAACCGTAACTGAAGAACTGTATATGAGTTCCCAGATCTTACTGGCCTTTCCATTAAGACTATTAATTTAATCATCAAACTGCAACTTTCTTTCATGTCCCGCTGTGCAAAAAATACCAGATGAATGGTTCTTAAAATGACCAAGCATGTTGAGCTGTAAACCTGCAAGCACCTTATCAATCTGTCCCACAGAAACAATGAGAGACAATGAAAGAAAGCAGAGCGTCTGTTCTGTTCATCAGCTGTCAAAAGAGCTTGTTTTAAATTTCTGTCAGGGCGCTGTATCTTTAACAGAAAGAGAGACTGTGCAATCTTCATGCTTCCACTCAAACCTCTTTACCACAGCTCACAAAACACTTGAACACAAACCTTTATGCTAGGAATGTAAAAGAGGAGTCCTTTAAAGGTTTTTCTTAAAAGAATGGCTCCGTATGGCCTTGGATTCATGTGTAAATAGTTGGAAAGTTTTTTTCTAAAAATCATTTTTACAGTATATAACGGAGCCAGAGTGCCTGAGTAATCTGCAATCTGCTCTTATTTCTGTCTGAATGCTGCTCCTGCAGGCAGCAACAGTACCAGGAAACCCCTCAAAATAGAGGCAGGAAGTACATTTTGTAAACACAATAAAACATGTTAACTAACTGCGTGAAACCATCTGTCAAGCAACGCAAACAAAGGCATAATCTCACTTACTCTATGAGCTGCTCCATTCCAGCACCCCGGGGCTCCGGCTGCTCACTCCCCAGGTTTGAGTTTCTTGTCCTCCTCTTATAGTGTCACTCCTGGGTTTCACCTGGAAATACACAGATACACACATGTAAGCTTAGCCGGAGTTTGTTTACATCTTAATGTAGGGGGAAAAAGATTAGAAAAGCAGAAGATGGGGTATTCCAGCTTTCATTCATTCATCAAAGTTGACACATGTTTTATAACAGGAGGTGTAATTGGTGTTTCTGGAAACAAGTCTTTGTCTGTCCTCTCTGTCTATCACCCCCTCTCTGTCTCTTTAAGGGCCTCTGTGGGCCTCTCACATCTTGAGGTGTTGAGTTTCAAAGTTGTCCTCATACTGTGTGATTGACGATGGAAACAGAGGTAGCCCTGATCCCTCTGCTGTTCCGGACTTTCCTGTATCTATCCATAATGACTCGACAGGATGTGAAAACATCTGAAAAAAACAAAGAGGCACAGAACGAATAATCATCTCTCTTTCTGTCAAATCATCTTGATACAGAATCTTATCCAACTATGCATTACAAGTTATTAGCTAAAACAGCTCTGACAATCATGATTTATAAAATGTCCTTCAAAGCATAACAATATAGTTTACTTTACAACAGTTATTACTAACCAAGTAAATTGATTAGACAACAGGCATTCTATGAGTGTCAATATAAGCCACTTAGCAGCTTTAAACACACTTATTATCATAGTGGTTGTGTGAAAAAGGAAAACAACAGTAAAATGTGGCTGATTCAAGAAGTAAGTCCTCAATAGGTGTGGACATAGACTGCTGTGTATCAAATGAATGCTGTGCCTCCATCCATGCTTCTTTACATTGTAAGATGTGACGCTAAAAGCTGCTTTGTTAGGATGGTGGCGCCAGGCATGCACTGAGGAGATCTAACTAGTGGGACAACAGGACTGACATCTCACCTGCCAATAAAGCATTAAAAATCCCCTCAGGTCGGCTGGACATATTCTTGTGTTGGTCTGAGGCAAACACTCATGGCTATATTCAGTTCAATGAATATAGCCTCCCCTTCTTTTCTGATCCATTAATGAACACTGCAGGAACGTTCATTTGTTGACAGAGCTGTCAATCATTAGCCTCACACTGCCAGACCCATTTGCCTTGAGTGGGTCTGGAACTGCTCATTTGAATCCATATTTTTTCCAAGAAGCATTACCAATGGTCACATAAGGTCACATAGTGCCTCTGGAATTGATTGTACAGATACAACCAATCAGATTAATGCAGCATGTGACAAACCACATAGCAGCAGAGGTGTAAACAGCAGCATAAAGAAGAAAGAAATGTACCTTCGTCACCAATGAACACAGTATGAGCAGTTGTTTGATTTGTTTAATGAAAATATATCATTTTCATTCATAGGTGCAGAGCTGTCAACTGATCACTACCTAGTGGTGAGTTGGGTCAGGTGGCGGAGGAAGCCACCACGCAGACCTGGCAGGCCCAAATGTATAGTGAGGGTCTGTTGGGTACGCCTGGTGGAAGAACCCGTCAGGTTGGCTTTCAACTCCCACCTCCGACAGAGCTTCAACTGCGTCCCGAATGGGCTTTGTTCCGCTCTGCCATTGTCGAAGCAGCAGTTGCGAGCTGCGGCCGCAAGGTCGCTGGTGCCGGTCGTGGCGGTAATCCCCAAACTCAGTGGTGGACACCAGAGGTGAGGGGAGCCGTCAGGCTAAAGAAGGAGGCCTACAGGTCATGGATGGCCTGTGGGTCTCCGGAATCAGCTGAACGGTACCAGTTGAATAAGCAGTCCGCAGACGGGGCAGTTGCAGGGGCAAAAACTCGGGCGTGGGAGGAGTTTGGTGAGGCCATGGAGGAAGACTTTCGGTCCGCTCCAAAAAGGTTCTGGCAAACTGTCCAGCGCCTCAGGGGCAGCAGAAGGCAACTTGCCCACACCGTTCTGGACGGGGGTGGGGAGTTGCTGACATCACCTGGGGCAATTCTCCAGCGGTGGAAGGAATACTTTGAGGAGCTCATCAATCCTACTATCATGCATTACCAAGGGGAAACAGAGTCAGGGGACCTGGAGGTAGACCGTCCAATCAATGGGGTAGAAGTCGCAGAGGTAGTAAAACAACTCCGTGGCGGCGGGTCTCACAGGGCCTCCTCTAGCTCCAGGAACGGATGAGATCCACCCAGGGTACCTGAAGGCTCTGGATATGGTGGGGCTGTCCTGGCTGACACGCCTCTACAAAATTGCATGGAAATCAGGGGCAGTGCATTTGGAGTGCCAGACTGGGGTGGTGGTCCCTTTCTTTAAGAAGGGGGACCAGAGGGTGTGTTCCAACTACAGGGGGATCACACTCCTCATCCTACCCGGGAAAACTTATGCCAGAGTTCTGGAAAAGAGGATCCGATCGATAGTTGAACCTCGGATCGAGGAGGAACAATGCAGGTTTCGTCCCGGTCGTGGAACGACGGATCAGCTCTTCACCCTCGCTCGGGTTCTTGAGGGGAGATGGGAGTTTGCCCAACCAGTCCACATGTGTTTTGTGGACTTGGAGAAGGCCTACGTCCTGGTCCCTAGGGCAATCCTGTGGGGGGTGCTCCGGGAGTACGGGGTGGAGGGTTCCTTACTAAGGGCCGTCTAGTCCCTTTACCAAAGGAACATGAGCTTGGTCCGTGTAGCCGGCTGTAAGTCGTTTCTAGTAAGGGTTGGACTCTGCCAGGGCTGCCCTTTGTCACCGGTTCTGTTCATAACCTTTATGGACAGAATTTCTAGGCGCAGCCGGGGAATGGAGGGTGTCCAGTTTGGCAGGCAGAGGATCGCGTCGCTGCTTTTTGCGGAGGATGTGGTGCTTCTAGCTTCGTCGAGCAGTGACCTTCAGCTCTTGTTGGGGCAGTTCGCGGCCGAATGTGAAGCGGCTGGGATGCGAATCAGCACCTCCAAGTCTGCGGCCATGGTCCTTAGTCGGAAAAAGGTTGATTGCCTTCTCCAGGTCGGAGGAGCGGTCCTGCCTCAAGTGGAGGAGTTCAAGTATCTCGGGATCTTGTTCACGAGTGAGGGTAGGATGGAACGGGAGATCGACAGGTGGATCGGAGCGGCGTCAGCAGTGATGCGGACGCTTAACCGATCAGTTGTGGTGAAGAAAGAGCTGAGCCGTAAGGCAAAACTCTCGATTTACCGGCCGATCTACGTGCCAACTCTCACCTATGGCCATGAACTGTGGGTAATGACCGAAAGAACAAGATCGCGGATCACAAGCGGCCGAAATGGGTTTCCTTCACAGGGTGGCCGGGCTCAGCCTTAGAGATAGGGTAAGGAGCTCGGATACTCGGAAGGCGCTCAGAGTAGAACTGCTGCTCCTCCACATCGAGAGGAGTCAGCTGAGGTGGCTCGGGCATCTGGTTAGGTTGCCTTCTGGACGCCTCCCGTAAGAGGTGTGCCAGACTTATCCCACCAGGAGGAGACCTCGTGGCCGGCCCAGGACCAGGTGGAGGGAGCTGGCGGAAGTGGACGGGGTGAGGGCCGTCTGGGCTTCCCTCCTGAAGCTGCTGCCCCCGCGACCCGGACCCGGATGAAGCGGAAGAAAACGACGACGAAAATATATCATCTGCTTAAGCCACCAAAGAGGATTTGACAGACCTTCCAGCAGTGGAAGCTTCCATCTTTGTTGTTCACCAACATGCTTTAGTAGTGCTCCTGTGCTGTCAGCTTAAATAAAGATTGTGACTGGTCCGGCTTATCCAACATTTAAAAAAAAAGAAGTGCAGAATGGCAGCAGTCCCAGATCCACATGCTAGCAGAAATGACTCGGGTTTGGCAGTGCCAGGTCAGTCAATCATCTTTTTACTACTAAAAAAGAAATTATTAATCCAAATGTCTCACTTAACTGAATGCTTAAGAAGACTTGTAATGAACATTTTCAGGACTTACACATTAAAGCCAGAGTGTAAAAAATGTGTATCAACTTTTGTTGATAAATCTAAATAATGAAATAAACAAGTGATAAAAGTCAGTTGTTGCACACTGAATCATTCCACAAATTAGGTGCATTTTGCTCATTGTACCTTAAAAATGAACTTTTTTCCCTCCTTTATTAATACCAAACATATTAACACGATTCAAAGAACTCAAAATGTGCTCTGGCCTATCCCAGACACCTTTATTCCACATATTTTACTCTAAGTTATGTAAAGAAGGGTTATGTTTTTGCCCTGAATGTCAGCACAGCATGGGTTATCAGAGGGCTGTGAGTGAATCACAAACATGATGGTATTCAGTGCAACAACAGTCCTGCATGTTATTGCTCAATTATCATCTTCTTAACACAGCTTATTCAACAGAATGAGCATTTAAGCTACTTCAGCACAAGAGCATATCCAACATTAGCAATATTCATCACCCACAAATCTTCAAAAATACCAATAACACTGACCTATTTTCCTCTCAAGGAAACACAACATGAATTTAATTAATATTATTCATGTTAATGTGACTTGATTATGCAGCGCTGTGACACCTGGGTAAACTGTGTATGGGTGGTGACACTCCTCTCGCCCTGAGCCTGCATGCTAATTAAGCAGAACATCTGGTGAGAGCGGAAACGTACTGTAGAGCTTAACTGAAGGGACCATGCTCCCTTGATCCAAAAGTGCTGAATGTTTTGGAAGGTGAACTCCATTTAAATTAAGGCTGCCTGGCTCTCAGCGTGCCAAATCACAAAATTGTCAGGCAGCCAATCCCTGCTTGCTGTTGATAGGAAAATCCTGGCAATAGCTAGAGACAGTAGATATTGACAGTGTGTGCTGCATTGTGCTGCAGGGCCAAGAAATGGTAATCAACTTACCTTTACATGCTCCTACATTTCCTCTGGTATGTTCTATGCTGCACAACATCACAATGATACAACAATGATTGCCATTTATATTATGTCGGTCATGCCAAGCATTAAATTAATTTCTCATCCAATTATTAGAGAAACAATTGTACTAAATTATTGCTTTGTCTCACCTTTGTTTACACCTCTTTGTTTATCATCTTAAATTGAATTTCTTAAGGGTTTGCCAGTTTTTACTCTTGAAAAATGGTACCTAGGTTTATAACCAATATTAGTCATTTCCATCAGATTGGAGGCTGTGACAAAACATTGTTACAGCAATATATCCTAATCGCGAATAATGGGATCCACTGACGAGATATTATTCTTTTCTTTTTTTTAATGGTGCACCACCTCAGAACTTCTTGCTGCGACAACAAAGACAAAATATTGCACTTCACACTTTGAGGCATTTTATGATTTTCAATTCATGTATCAAAGTGTGACAGCTTTGTCTTTAGTAACTATCACAGAACAGCTTTATCAAGATAGTGTCATTATTACAGGCAATGTGTTGGGTGTCATACCCATAAACTGTAGATACTATGGCATTGTATGGCATAGTATGGCAGTCTAAACCCTAATATTCAAAATTAAAAACTGTATCTTTAGTAAACTTTTGTTTCCTTTTTGGTTGAATCACTTTGTGTCTGATGTCAAAAACAATATCTAGCTTTATTGAGCTAACCAAATTATCTTACAGCCAACAGATTTTGGAGAAAAAGGTATGCTGAGGTTCACTGAGCAGCTTCCTAAATGTCCTTGGACTGGATTTAATCCTTGAAAGGGAAACAGGCGGATACAGTTTTTATAACAATGGCACAGGAGGGCACATTTCGGGTAATAGTCTGACAACCAGACAAGAAGGGCTTAACAGCTACTAAGAGCTAAAAAAGCCGACAATACATCAAACAGCTGCGACAAAACACAACTGTGCAATGAAGCAAAGTTATTAACTCATTAATATCTGAGCTTTATGATCTGCTGCATGCTATCAAAACCTTTGTTCATTTAGTCTCTACTGTGGATTTAGTCAGCCATTATATGCTTGCAAATCTTTCTTCACTGACCACCAGGTTTCTCTCTGTCTCTTTGGACTCAATGTCATCTAAAATAGAATTACACACATTACTCCTATTCCTCATGTTTCATTTCTGCCTTAATGTATCTCTACTGTATTCACCCTCCTCTAGCTTTCACGTCCACCACCTCTCCTCCACCTAGTCATGCATACTAATCTGTGCTGTAACTTGGAGCAGTGGCCAGCCATTGCCTGCCTGTCCCATCAAACATGCATATGAAACAGATGTATCTTTGATGTAGGCTTGTTCATGTTGCCCCATGCGCATTGCTATGTGTGTGTGTGTGTGTGTGTGTGTGTGTGTGTGTGTGTGTGTGTATTTGTTAATGTGCTGTGAGGCCCTGCGGGTGGAAGCCAGACTGTGAAGAAGCAGCTGCATGTCCCAACACAGGGAAGGGAACTGGAGGGCTGTTATAGATCATCAGCAGGACAAATCATCAATGCAGTTATATGTTGCTTGCTATTTTTATTACCTTTAAATTCATTATTCATGTGGCTGGAAGCTATTTCATCACTGTGATTTATAGCTATCTTTATTGTGCATACTGTTATGGGTTTTATTTTGCTTCTCCTAGTTGAAAAGGCTACTTCTTCTTCTTCTGATTTGCACTATAGCCATGTGCAACTGAGACCCGGTGTTCATTCAATTGATGAACATATTTAACACATTTCTCACATTTCCAGAGTCTTGGGACCTTTACTTTTTTCTGTGTAAGGATACCATAATTGTAGTGATGAATGTTGTAGTGAATAGCCCATGGAAAAATAGTGTTTTTCACAAGAGTTCACAGGCAGCAGTCATTCAGGATGTAACAGTTGGTCAGAATGTTGAATTCCAAATTAACTATTTATCCAAAACACGTTTGATAAATGCTTAAGTCTTACTATAGAGGAGAGTGGGGTAAGATGAGCCATTTTTCATATTTTGGATCACTACATCAAGGCAATCATAGTTTTGTTTCTAACTAGTGTATCTGCATAGATTTCAAGATGTGCATCTCTGCAAACCAACAGAATGAGTGTAAACATAACTGTCTTGATAATATAGCATGGCAAAAAAGTGGTCTCCTATGGTCAGCTTACCCCTTGTATGGTGTAAGTTGACCATAGATTCAGAACATTCACGGCTGTTTTCTTGAAAAGAAAAAGTAACACATTTCAACAGTCTGAACTGAGACTCTGATCCTCTCATCAGACTCTTTTACTTTCTCAGTTGAGCCACTGGCTCGAGCTCATGTTGTAGCTCATAGATACCACAATTGATGTATAAAACAAATCTAAAATGATATTTTTTGGTCTAAACACAATTCTAATAAAACTTATGACAGACTAAATTCACTTTCAAGAGTGAATTTTTTTTTTTTTTTTTAAATAAATGTCTAAACCCTTTACCCATGTGATTCTAACCTTCACAGACTCCATGAATTGATGCCCATCTCCTAAATATTTGGTCACATGATCAATTTCTTTTTCCATTTCCAAGCAAGAGGGGGTGGCTCAACTTACCCTTTGGCTCAACTTACCCCACTCTCCTCTATTTGTTTTAGTGAAAGATATCCAAGCTGCTGTCCACTCTCTCACTTTGAAATTTAATTCTACTGAATTTACAAGTTTTCATAGTTTACTCTATGTTATTCTGGATATTTATGGACTTTGAATGATTGGCCAAACCAAAAGCAGCATTTAATCA